TATTAAATTCTTGTGTTGTGGGTTTGCATTAAAAAAACACATAGGTGAGCTGGGTTGGCAGTTAGAGGAAACCTTTTACCAAGGTTAAAGTTAACTAAACTTAGCGTATTGTATGAAGGTATCTGCTAGGACCTGATTTGATGTGATTAAGCCAACTGTATGAACTGGCACCCAAAACTTAACTTTTTTAACCCCTGGATACTAAACACCTGGATTAGGAAGGTCCCAAAAGTTGTGATGACCCAAAGAGGCGTGCCACAAAAGCAACAAAGTCACAAAAGTAGGTAAAGTCCCTTTAATACCTCCAACTTTGCCCCCAATGTCCAGTGATCATCGGCTGGAGACAAAACTCTCTCAAGATCAGTTTTTAAAGGGAAGAAATTCAGTCTGAACCCAAAGTACCTATAGATTATAAATAAAAACAACACAAACCACGGTGCAGCAATTAACCAGACAGGGCAGGATAAGGAATTGCAGACTTCAAAAGATAACGAAACACACACAGTTGGGAGGATGCCAGAACTCAGATAAGACTTGACAAACAAAGATAATACACGCTTTGCTTCCACAAGGACTTGTGCGCAAATGCCCTTTTTAAATCCTGTTCTCCCAGCTGCAGCTAATGAAGGGAATCAGGGCCCTTTTCTCCCCCGTAACCCACTTTGCTCCCTTCTCTGTTCCTCCCTGCAGGCCCTAGGATGAAGAGAGGGTGGCCCTGGGTCTTCCTCTGAAGGTCCAGCCGGACTGTGCCCTTCCCCAGTTTCTTCCACAGCCACCGGAGCCACACTCCCACTCCCTGTCAGCTGTTCAACTTCCCCCTCGGAATCAGATTCCAACAAGGACATGACAAAAGTGCTATTTCTAAAGGCAACTAGACTTTCTTGTTTTCTTTGAAGACATTTCACTTCTCATCCAAGAAGCTTCTTCAGTTCAGTTCAGAACTGGAGAAGCTTCTCGGGTGAGAAGAGAAACGTCTTCAAGGAAAAACAAAGAAAGTCCAGTTGCCTTTTGAAAAATGCACCTTTTTGCAGTGACATAACTTTGAACGGTCACTAAAGGAACTGTTGTAAGTTCGAGGACTACCTCTGTGCTACTGAGTATCTGCTGTAGGACCATATTTCATAAATGGACATAACTTACAGACAGACCTCAACTTACAACATTTTGTTTAGTGACTGTTCAAAGTTACAACGGTGGTGAAAAAAGGGACTTATGACTGTTTTTCACACTTACGACCGTTACAGCCTCCCACCTGATCAAAATTCAGATGCTTGGCAACTGACTCATACTTATGACTGTTGCCGTGTCCCAAGGTCACGTCCCTTCCCTTTTGCGACCTTCTGACAAGCCAAGTCAACAGGGATACCAGATTCACTTAACAACCACATTACTAACTTATCGACTGCGGTGATCCACTTAACGGCGATGGGAAGAAAAGTCAGAAAATGGGGCGATACTCGCTTAACAAATGTCTTATTTAGCCACAGAAGTGTTGGATTTCTTGTTTCTGTTGTATTTCACGCTCTCTAGCAAGGTGGCTTCTGCACAATGATGGCTTGTTTAGCATTTTAATTAGTCCACATGAAACACGGTGATTGTGTCATAAGCCGAGAACGACTTGTGCTTTTTTCACCACTGTTGTAACTTTGAATCAGGGGTGGGCTGCTGGGGGTTCACAGGGGTTCGGGAGAGCCCCTATGTCATGCCCTTGGTAGAGTCGGACTCTGAGGGAGAGGAGGAACAGCCGACAGGAAGTAGAGGTGTGGCTCCGGAGGTTGCGGAGGAGGCTGGGGAAGGGCAGAGGCCAGCTGGGCAGTCAGAGGAAGAACCAGGCCCATCCCCTCTGCATCCGAGGACATGCAGGGAAGAATGGAGAAGGAAACAACTTGGCTTATGAGAGAGGAAGCGGCCATGATCCCCCTCATTGGTTGCAGCTGGGGAGACTAGTATATAAGAGAGACGATTAAAACACAGCGTTGCCAGAAACAAAGCGTGCTTTATTTTGGGCTGAAGTTACTTTGGTTGGCAACCTTCCAACAGACTGTGCCTTGTTATCTTCTTGCAGTTGGTAATTACTTATCCTGGTCCGTTGTGGAAATTCCTTCATTGTAGTTTCTTTGGTTTTTTTATTTCACCTCTATCTGCTCATTAAGTTCGGACTGTATTGCTTTCTTTTGAAGACTATATTTTTGAGTACATTTTATTTCCAACTGAGTATTATTGAACAGTGGGGCCAAGTTGGAAGCATTAAAAGACATTTATTTAAGCTTTGGATTTTGTTGCGTTTGTGTTACACTCTGGGTCATCCCACCCTAGCTAAGATTCTGTGCAGTTCAGAGAACCCCCCAAGCCCACTCCTGGCTGGCCCCGCCCCGCCCCGCCCCACCCTGCCCCTCCCCTACCAGGAGCCCCCATGCAGGCCATTTTGGATGCAGGTAAGTTCAGGATGCATGGGGAGGCTCAGTGAGGGCGAAAAACGGGCCTGCCGGAAGTTCAGGAAGCCTGGAAATGGGTCCGTTTCCAGCTCCCAGTGAGCCTCTGGAGCCCAGGGAGGCCGTTTTTGTGCTCCTGGAGGCTCGAGGAAAGCCTCCGGAGCCCGGGGAGGACAAAAACACCTCCCCCCATCGCCATGGTGCAGGAGGCTGACTAGGCCACGCCCACCCAGCAACCGGGCAGAAAACCCATTGCTAAAGTTTTCGAAGCCCACCTCTGCTTTGAATGCTTACTAAATGAACGGTCGTAAGTCGAGAACTACCCGGAATTGGGAAAGGGCCTATTCTGAATGGAATAAACAAACGAATAAATTAAATGTATGTAACTGTGGCTTGGATAAGTTATTCAGAGCACGGAAGAGAGTGAAAGAAACCATCCTCACCACGGCGGGCCTGAAAGGCGGGTCAATCTCTTTTCTTTCCAAAGCTTCCCATGTGATTTCCTGAAAGAAGGCGTGCTGTCGAATATTCCCTCTGACTCCCAGCCGCCTCTCTGGCTCTCTAACGAAAAGCTAGAAATCGAAAGATCGAAGCGTTAAGAGAAATGGATAAAATTGTCAGTGAAACGTGTGCTGCCTTCACTAGAACGTGGCTTTAAAGAGCGAGAAAATGGTCTCTTTAGATCTTAAGGTTAAAGAATTTAGGTGGTCCTCGACTTATGAGCATAATGGAACCTCCTTATCATGGCCGTAAGGGGTGATCGTTGTAAAAATAAGCCAGTCAGGCGTTCAATCTCATTGTATGACCTTTTAAAAAAAAAAAAAACAGTGGTTGTTAACCCAATACCACAGTGTCGGAGTGTTTACAGCTTGACTACTATTGTGACACAACCCAGGAGCAAAACATAGCACACAGAGGCTTTGTCTTTTAACGCTGGTTTATATACACTGCTCAAAAAAAATAAAGGGAACATGTAAACAACACAGTGTAACTCCAAGTCAGTCACACTTCTGTGAAATCAAACTGTCCACTTAGGTAGCAACACTGATTGACAATCAATTTCTCATGCTGTTGGGCAAATGGATTAGACAACAGATGGAAAGCATAGGCAGTTAGCAAGACATCCCCAATAAAGGAGTGGTTCTGCAGGTGGTGACCACAGACCACTTCTCAGTTCCTATGCTTTCTGGCTGATGGTTTGGTCACTTTTGAATGCTGGTGGTGCTTTCACTCTAGTGGTAGCATGAGACAGAGTCTACAACCCATACAAGTGGCTCAGGTAGTGCAGCTCATCCGGGATGGCACATCAATGTGAGCTGTGGCAAGATTTGCTGTGTCTGTCAGTGTAGTGTCCAGAGCCTGGAGGCGCTACCAGGAGACAGGCCAGTACATCAGGAGACATGGAGGAGGCCGTAAGAGGGCAACAACCCAGCATCAGGACTGCTACCTCCACCTTTGTGCAAGGAGGGACAGGAGGAGCACTGCCAGAGCCCTGCTAAATGACCTCCAGCGGACCACAAATGTGCATGTGGCTGCTCCAACGGTCAGAAACAGACTCCATGAGGGTAATATGAGGGCCCAACGTCCACAGGTGGGGGTTGTGCTTACAGCCCAACACCATGCAGGACGTTTGGCATTTGCCAGAGAACACCAAGATTGGCAAATTTGTCACTGGAGCCCTGTGCTCTTCACAGATGAAAGCAGGTTCACACTGAGCACATGTGACAGACGTGACAGGGTCTGGAGACACCGTGGAGAACGTTCTGCTGCCTGCAACATCCTTCAGCATGACCGGTTTGGCAGTGGGTCAGTAATGGTGTGGGGTGGCATTTCTTTAGGGGGTCGCACAGCCCTCCATGTGCTTGGCAGAGGTAGCCTGACTGCCATTAGGTACCGAGATGAGATTCTCAGACCCCTTGTGAGACCATATGCTGGTGTGGTTGGCTCTGGGTTCTCCTAATGCAAGACAATGCTAGACCTCATGTGGCTGGAGTGTGTCAGCAGGTCCTGCAAGACGAAGGCATTGATGCTACAGACTGGCCCACCCATTCCCCAGACCTGAATCCAATTGAGCACATCTGGGAAATCATGTCTTGCTCCATCCACCAATGCCACGTTGCACCACAGACTGTCCAGGAGTTGGGGGATGCTTTAGTCCAGGTGTGGGAGGAGATCCCTCAGGAGAACATCCGCCACCTCATCAGGAGCATGCCCAGGCGTTGTAGGGAGGTCATACAGGCACGTGGAGGCCACACACACTACTGAGCCTCATTTTGACTTGTTTTAAGGACATTACATCAAAGTTGGATCAGTCTGTAGTGTTTTTTCCACTTTAATTTTGAGTGTAACTCCGAATCCAGACCTCCATGAGTTGCTAAATTTGATTTCCATTGATAATTTTTGTGTGATTTTGTTGTCAGCACATTCAACTATGTAATGAACAAAGTATTTAATAAGAATATTTCATTCATTCAGATCTAGGATGTCTTATTTTTGTGTTCCCTTTCTTTTTTTGAGCAGTGTACAAGACTACAATATACATGCATACATGTTTTAAGCAAATACCAGGCAATCAATCAATCTTCAACTCTACATGGAGAACTACAATGGAGACAGAACACGAGGAGAGAGAGACGCCCTCACATGGCCTCCCTTATATAGACAGTTTCTTAAAGTGGCAGTACCCAGCTGACTCATCCTCAGTTCATCATCTTGGCTTACAGCCTGACGGCAGCTGGTGAACTATTACATCTTCATTACCTTAACACACAGTGGTTAAAAAAGGGCGTCAAAAACTGGAAGTACAGGTAGTTATCGACTGACAACTTATGACCACAATCGAGCCCAAAATTTCCATTGTGAAGCGGGGCATTAGTTAAGTGAGTTTTGCCTCATTTTATAACCTTTCTTGCCCTAGTTGTTAGGTCAATTGCTGCAGTTTATCATTTTAACCAGTCCTCCCAGCTGCAGCCCATGAAGGGGATCAGGGCCCCTTCCTCCCCCATAGACCACACCACTCACTTTTTTCCCTTATCCGTTCCTCTCTGTGTGCCCTAGGATGAAGAGGGGATAGGCCTGGGTCTTCCTCTGAATGCCCATCTGGCCTGTGTCCTTCCCCAGTTTCCTCCACAACCACTGGAGCCACACTCCCACTCGCTGTCAGCTGTTCTATCTCTCCCTTGGAGTCAGACTCCAACAGGGGCAAGACACCCCTATTCTGGTATAATGGAATCTCTTAACCTCACCTTTACTAAGAGGTCCCTTGCAATCTTGTCAAGCCAGCGGGGGTAGAATGGGCTGTCCATGCGGATGGACTGGAAGAGCATTTCTTCATCCTGGCCATGGAAGGGAGACTGGCCAATCAGCATCTCGTACAGAAGGACCCCGAAGGACCACCAATCAACGGCCATGTTGTATTTCTGCCCAAGAAGGATCTGGCATGGGAAAAGAAGGGAGAGTTGGAAAAAAAAAAGAAATAAAGAAAAAGGAAGCTTAAAGAAGGACGGTACACACTTTAATAAAGGTAGTCCTTGACATACGGCCACAATTGGGCTCAACATTTCTGCTGCTGCTAAGCAAGGCAGCTGCTCAGTTAATTCTGTCCCCTTTTTAGGACCTTTGTTGCCCCTGTTGTTAAGTGAATAAGCCCTGCAGTTCTTAAATTAGTGACGTGGCTGTGAAATGGATTTGAAGCGAACTGCTGTGATTTCACTTAACAACGGTGGGCAGACTGGTCCTAAAATGGAGCAAATTCATTTAACCATAGCCGTGCTTAGTAACTGACATTTTAATTGTCATATGTTGAGGACTACCTGCATAGACTGCAATGCTGGACTTAAACAATGGCGATGATAGAACGTCTACGGGACTCCAACCATTCCCCTTCTCCAATTTGTCCAAATCTTGCAAGTGTCAACTCATAAAATATTCCTATGCCTGTTTTAGTAGTTGCCGTAGAGAAGCGGGGTTGGAGGAAGGAAATCTGGAAGAGCAGTTGAAAGCAAAAGTGCATTCCAACTCTTATCTTTAAAAGATTGTAACTAAAATACCAGAGTTTTTGCCCACAAATATATTTAATTGGAGAACGGGAATGATGACACCCAGCCCATGAACGTGTTCAATTGGAGAATGTGATTTATGACACACCCAGGGGGGAGGGGGGAAACAGGGTCACAGGGGACTGTAAATGACGTGTGCCAGAGTTGGCTTCATACAAGGCAATGGCAGTGCCCAGTATGTCACCTCTAATTAATCCTTTGAAGTTTTTTGAAGTTTGGCTTGAGAATCATGTGTCAGGATTCTGGCAGTTACTTCAGTTAAATCATGAGCCTCGAGCCACACACCCCAAACTAAAGAGGATTTATTTGAATTCAACATTCTACGTCTGGCACTAACCTGGATGTAGCCAACTCTGAGATACGTAATTCACTGTCACCCTTGATCTTGCTTTACCCCTCTGGGTGTATCATCCAACAAAAGACGTCCATAGCCAAGAGTCATCAATCATGCTCTCCAATTAGATTTTTTTTGCGGCAGAAGCTTCAGCCAGCTAATCAGTCTTTGAAAAAAAATATGAATGGAATGGACTCTCGATTCCACACTGTTGCCCCTTCTTTCTGTTGTCAACTATAAAACGTGTATACAAAATGTTTTATGAGTTGACATTCGGCTCCCCTCCCTTCTTGAAGGTGACCTGTACAACACACCCCGAATCAATTTGATTGCAAATTTGGAAGCTTATGTTCACGAAACACCCCCAGGCTTGGTTGAGATCATGATTTAATTAGAGTGATTGCTGGAATCCTGACAGCAAGTTTTTCAGGTGGGAACAATGAAATTTCGCAGGATCTCATGAAAGAATTCTGAATCCAGCAAGACGGTAATAAACATCTTCTGAGTAACATCACTTTGAGTAACATCACTCAAAGCAAATCGCCCAAATGTTATAGGGTTCTCAAACTCCTTTTTCTTCCTGATTCTTTCTGAAACTCTATTCTGGTCATAAATCAATTTAACAGAACCAAAAAATATTAGAGTTGGGAGGGACCTTGGAGGTCTTCTAGTCCAACCCACTGCTTGAGCAGGAGACCCTATACCATTCTGGACAAATTGTTGTCCAATCTCTTCTTAAAAACTTCCAGTGATGGAGCTCCCACCACTTCTGCAAAGATGTCATTCCACTGATTCATTGTTCTACCTGCCAGGAAGTTTCTCCTGAGTTCTAGGTTGCTTCTCTCCTTGATTAGTTTCCATCTATTGTTTCTCGTCTTGCCTTTATTAGATGCTTTGGAAAATAGGTTGACTCCCCCTTCTGTGTGATAGCCCCTCAAATATTGGAACTTTGCTATCGTGTCACCCTGGGCCTTCTCTTCACTACACTAGGCATACCCAATTCCTACAAGTCAATGACTACTTCAGCTTCAACCGCAACAATACAAGAGCACACAACAGATACAAACTCAACCTAAACTGCTCCAAACTCGATTGCAGAAAGTACAACTTCAGCAATAGAGTGGTCAATGCTTGGAATGCACTACCTGACTCTGTTGTTACATCCTCTAACTAGCCCCCACTCCTTTAACCTTAAACTATCCACTATTGACCTCACCCCATTCCTAAGAGGTCTGTAAGGGGTGTGCATAAGTGCACCATCGTGCCTCCCGTCCCTGTCCTATTGTCCCCATTTATTCGTCCCCATTTCCTGTATTCTTACTCATGTTTATACTTATACCTAGTATCTTGTAAGCGATTGGCAAATCAAAACAAATCAAATCAATCAATCAATCAAAATTTTGGACAAACTAAGGCCCACCTACCTCAGGGGCAATATAATCGGGCGTCCCACAGAAGGTGCTCGTTTTAGCGTCCCCTAGCATGTTCTCTTTGCACATTCCAAAGTCAGCAATCTTGATGTGGCCTTCTTTGTCAAGGAGAACATTATCAAGCTTGAGGTCTCTGAAAGAGGATGAAGGGTTACACCTGTTCATTCAAGAGGCTCTTTTTTTGGGGGGGGGGTAACTTAAGGTAGTCTTCTCCAGTCCCCCAATCCATTGCAGCTGCCACTCCCTGCTCCTAAAATCTATTTATTTATTTAATTTATATCCCACCTATATTATTATTTTTTGTAAGTAGAAGTGGTACCTCAGTACCCATTATTAATGAGTATTATTGATGCTTCCAGGACAGAGGTGGTATTCAGTAGCGGAAATTTTGAGTAGTTCGGAGATCTGGCAAATCCCACCTCTGACTGGCCCCGCCCCCATCTCTTCTCTGCCTCCCATTGAGTCCCAGCTAATCGGCTGGGTCTCCTTTGGTTGCCCTGCAAGGGAGAACAGAGCTGAAAAGCAGGTTAGTGGGGTGGGGAGGGAATGAGGATTTTGCAGTAACCTTCCCCTGCCACGCCCACCAAGCCTCACCCACAGAACCGGTAGTAAAAAAAATTGAATCCCACCACTGCTCTGGGAAGTACAATGAGTACCAAAAACAATGAATATCAAACAAATTTTCCCCATTAGGAATCATGTAGGGATTCAGAAGGCAGCGAACACTGAAAAGTTGTAGCTTGTGTGTGTTGAGTACTAAATGAACAATGAGTACCTAGACAAACTTTTTGCGTCAAATTTCACTGAGTACCACATTGGATGAGTTCAAAGCAGTTGAGTACCAAGGTACCGCCATAACTCAAAGCGGCAAACATACAGAATGCAGGTAATCCTCAATTTACCACCATTCATGTCATGAAATTGGAAGTTGCAACGTTGCTGGAAAAAGTGTCTTATGACCGTTTTTTTACACTTACAACGGTTGCAGCATCCCCCCCCCCCCCATGATCACCTGATCAGAATTTGGGCATTAGCAACAAGAACCTGCACAGAACCCTCGCAGTTTGCAGTTCTCTAGCACTCTAATCTTTTATTTGGAAGTAGCAAAAATTCAGGATTAAAAAATAATAATCTCTACCTGTATATGATGCCTTTGGAATGAAGGAACTGCAGCCCACAAATAATTTCAGCAGCATAGAACCTATAAAATGTGGAGATATTTCTTTTATCACAACAACATCCAAAATAGAATCCTCCCGGCTGGCTCAGATGATGGGAACAATAATATTTCAGTACAATTATTAATAACAAGGTTTGTTATCATTTCTATTTGTCTACTCGGTCTCATTATGGAAGCACAGAATAGAAATGAGGTTCTGAAAATATAATTAGGAAAAGATTGGATTTTGCAGAGATGGATAGGTTGACACTGAAAATAAAAAGTAAAGGAAATAGAAAGTATTACTTAACATGGAATAGGTTTTATCAATGGTCAGAGATAAGAGGTAGAAATTAGATGAAGAAATAGCATTGTTATGTTTAAATCAGTCTACGAAGGGCAGAAATGCAGTCCGAACCCAAAGTAAAGATAATTAGAAATTAAAAAAAACCAACACAAACCACACTGAAGTAATTAACACGGCAGGCCAGGATGATAAATTGCAGACTTTCAAACCACCCACAGTTGGGAGAATGCCAAAACCTGGATAAGGCTCAACCAAGATAATGCACGCTTTACTTCCAGCAAGGAGCCATGTGCAAACTCCTCACTTATATCCTGTTCTCCCAGCTGCAAACAAAGAAAGGGATCAGGGCCTTCTTCTCTCTCACAAGCCATGTTGCTCCCTTCTCCGGTCCTTCCTGCATGCCCTAGGATGAAGAGGGGGTGGCCCTAGGTC